TTATATTTATTTTTTAAAGACATCTACTCATTGAGAGCTCGCAAATGCTAAGAATTACAAGGAACAAGTAAAGACCTATTTATTCTAACTTCACAATTACAAAAGACGCCCCAAGAAATAGAATAGTTTAACCGTTACAACAAAGCGGCTAATGTCCGGCAACAAATGTTTTTAATGCTTTCTTTTTGTCACCCAACAATAAAAGGCGAAGGCAAACGAAGTCAGCCGCCTCACCCGAGCAACAGCTGTTGCAGGGCAAAACCTTAAAGGTAAAGGCAAAAAGTGCCCAAGTGACCCAGAACTTGTGGTGGGTGTTGGATGGGACTGTGACCACTTCGATGTTATTTCCGCTCGATGAAAAAGTGGCCAATCAAAGCGCAGCGAAGGCAGCCAAAACAGTTATTTATTTTGACAGACTGTTAACAATGTAACAGATGCTCTGAGTTTTTATCAATAACAGCATATAAGAGCTAATAACAGTGACAGCATTGTAATAACATAAATGGTAACAGCTACTCAGTTAAAATAGTATAACTTAAAGTAAACGGCTGGCATTCGGCAGCTTAAGAGAGTCAGTCTTAGCATAGCAGATACAAATTAACAGTGAAGAGTTAAACTGCGCAAATAACATTACGTATACCTAACAGACTGTAAAATTCAATTCAAAAGTACGTTTGGTATTTTTGCAGTATTTTATAATTAAAAGTTTCTATTGCATTTATTTTTAGATATATGATAAATTAAATTATATATAAAAAAAATTAAAGTAAATTTAATATAAATATGTTTTTAAATTTAACATTAATTTATATATGAGATATTTTATGGTATAAATATCAGATGTAACAATGCTGTGTGAGTAATTTATCGGTTGGCCGCCACCAGTTATCGGATGACTATCTATCGCCTGCGCATCATAATAAAAGTTAAATTTACCTAAATTTACGCATTTCAATTATAATTGAATGATGGATGTTATTAAAAACAAAAAGTTTTCCATTGTATTTCGCTGCACTGTGCCCAAATGCTCGTATTCGAGTAAACGGCTCTACAATCTGCAGCGCCACGAAAAGACCCACGGCAAGGAGCACTGGCGCTCCAAGAGATTTCTTTGCCCTTGTTGTGCCTACGCGGCAGCCACGCGTGCCCATCTGAAGCGCCATATGAGCAAAAAGCATCCGACGGAGGATATAAACAAACACACTATTAAAGTTCTTGCCTACGAGGACTTTGAAAAGCCAGATGAAGGGTCAAACCCAAGGCAAGAGTCAGTGGAAGAGTCAATGGAGCAAAAGCGACCAACGGAACAGCTGAAAGCAACGAAGGAGAAGCTCGTGGAGAGTAATCAGCAGCAGGGGAAGGAGCAATTGATTGTGGGACCAGTTACGGTGCTGCAATTGGTGACGCCATTGAGCCCGCAAGCGAAGCCCAGACCAGGCGAAATGTATTGCAATGTCTCGTTGGAGGGGGAAGCCTTTCGCCTGATTCCTGTGGAACTCTTGCCCGCAGAGGTGGTCAAACAGAACCTGTAACATCACTACACAAAGCGCAAGCCACCGAGCGATCTTCACATGTGAGATATCATGCAAAGACAGAGAGAGATAGATATATATAAATATAGTAAAAACTCTTATCTTTCAATACACTTCTGATCTGATAATAATTTTAGATCTATATTCTGGCAACCGGAAAAAAAGGTATTCATAATCAGGTGCAGCTGCATTTAGTTGGAAAAAGGAAACACAATACAGGACAATGATATGTTCAGTCTTCAAATGAAACACAACAGCGGAGCAAGTAAAATTCAATCGAATGAAATTAATATTAGCGCGATCGAACGATTCAATTCTTGATTGAAAAAAAGTCAGCAAAGACGCGTGGAATGAGCAGGTGAATAGCAAAAATACAGAGAATGGAAAACAAGGATCAGTGCAATATATGGATCCCACTCTGCATTGACCATTTCTTCAAAGAAAATCTCATGTAGAATTGAAACCGGAACAGAAGCCATGTATTTTACTAATCTGTAGGGGATAGAGAGTACACATCTTCCAACGATCGAAAACAGTGGACATAATTGTTGTCAGCAATAGAAAATATGTCAATAATAGTAAATAAGTATATATAATTTATTAGCAAGTATGAACTAAACGAAATCAATTTTAGAGCCCATTTGCAAAGTGGAAAAACTTCATGTTTCGGAAGCGATAACTAACTTTTATATGGACTGTTGCCGAATAAATCAAAAGTAAAATTCATACATTTTTGTTACCAAATGAAGAAAACTTAATTTATTTGTAAATTAATTGAAATACAATTTATGTATCTTTGATATATTTATTGGGTACTAAATGAATGTGCCTTTGTAAATAGAATGCGAGTAAGTTTCACAATAAACAATATATTTTAATATATTTTCAAATTGTTTGCATTTAATAAACTATTGAGGAATTAAAAAAAAAAAATTAGCAGGTTAGCAGAAATGTTATTTAATGTACGCTCTGCCACTGTAAAGTACGTCGAGAGTGGCGAGTCAGTAGTATGAGAGAAGTTTTCTGTTAACGCGGCACAACCATTTTGAGTTTAGCAGCGGTACTTTACATTGCAGGTATAAGAGCAGCGTTTAGTCTGCATACGACTTCGATTTAGAATGGTTGGTGTTAGCGCGTCGCGGCGATGTGAGCGGCTAAATATCGAGTGCGAGTGAAACAGCAATAGAAAATGAAGTGATTTCGTGTAGGTGTGCAAAGGAGAAACAAATCGAAAACGGAATAACGGTGCATACGCATGGTTTTTTTAGAGAAAAAACCGCCGAGTGCAACTGTAGCGGATTTTTTTGCAATAAAAATTAAATTTTAATTAAGTTTAATCAATATCTGAATGGTTGTCAACTGCAGGCTGCAGCGCAACAGCACCATCAGGCAAAGCCAACAAATACAAAGTGAAGTGCAAAAACAAAACCGGTTCGCCTCTGCAGCAGCATCAGCAGTAGCACAACAACAACARCATCAAAAACTCAAAAGCAAAGGCAAAAGCAAAGTAAAGGAAGGCAAAACCAAAGGCAGCGAAAGAATTTTTGTTGCTTTCTGCGTATTTGTTTGTGTTAGTGAGTGTGCGTGTGTGTCCGTTTCTGTGTGCCTGTATTTGTGCAAAGAAAAGGCAGCAGGAAAAGGCAGTTGGAATTTGTTGTTGCCGCTACCGCAGCCGCTGCCGGCTTCGCTGCTGTTACTTTGATTTTTTTTTTGGCCCAGGTGAAGAATTTGTATAGCCAATGCAAACCTGTTCAATAACAGCAACAACTAAAACAAAAAAAACAACAAAAACTACAACAGCAAAACAAAACAGCGAAAAAAAGTGGCACAAGTGAAAATTCCTGTGTTGCGACTGTATGTGTTTGTGTGTTATTTTTTGACAGTCTTTGGCCAAAAGTGAAAATCAATTTGCTGAGTGTGCGCGGGCTACAAACACAGAGAGAAGGAGAGAGAGAGAGAGCGAGTGAGAGAGCGCACAAAGTTTCGTCCTTTTAGGCCAAAAATACCAAAACCCTACTATGCGAGAACGAGAACGAAAACTTGACGAAAAATCTACCGAATGCCGATAAAAACAATAACAACAACGACGAATGAAGAGCAACTCAAAGCAAAAAGTAAACAAGCTGTGCAATACAACAACAACTACAACAACATCAGCTGCACAGACAACAACTAAGTAAAAGGTCAGTATTCCAGCTACGCCTATGTTAAATGCACAAATCGTATAAGACTTTCAAAAAATAAAAACAATGTAAAATGAATATACATATTTGTCTGTATGAGAGTTTAACATGAATGTTAATGTCTACTCATTCTCATATTGGTGATCATTCATATTTAGCCTTATCGCAGCAGCAACAACCATTTTTATTGCTCTTCAGCTGCGACCTTCGTATGTGATTATAAAATATAAAAAAATTATATTATTGCGAGAGCAGCCAGTCGAGAAATAGAAACTGTTCCCTATCAGCATTTAAATTGATAGCGGCAAATAAAAGTAACTCATATTAGTAGTACAGTCAGGTCTGTTTGAAGAGAACAGTTCAGTGTTTAGGCTATCAAAATAATAATAGAGGGTTTTACATAGCAAAACTACAAAAACAATAAAAAATAATTAAATTATGCAACAATAATATGCTTTAAAGCTCAGTTCTTTTTCATAGTCTTCACTGTAGCTTTTGGTCTTTGTTATGGCACGAGCTGGGCCCATCTTTCGCATTTTGTTTTACAGTAATACATGCTTCTCCCCCGCTGTTTCGCTTGCATAACTACAATATTGAAAATTTTGCGTGTTTTCGTCGTATTTGGATTTTAATAAGAGTTGTTATTATTTTCAGCTTTTTATCAGATAGGCATTAACTACAATTTTTTAGCATGTGCCCAGGTCACGTAATGCTCGTTGCAGCCTCGCCCGGGAATTTTAATTACTGTCTTTTCATATGACACGTACTGCTCAAAGCGCAGATCATCTTTGATCAGATCAGCTCAGATCAAATCAGTGAATAAACACGGTTCATACGTATGCACAATTGGCCCGTGTACAGTTATAAAAGTTATATTGTTGTCTGGTAAGATTTCTTTAGCTCTAGTTAAGTAAACTAAAAAATTAATTTTAGCTGTATAAATTTCTCCTCGTTTCCCTCATCCCATAATTGGAGAATACTTCAAATATTTTGGATATTGCAATCTAAACTAAATCTGAAACTCGCGTCCATATGTAAAGCTCTTGTCAGCCCCTCTTGAGTCACTCGTATTTTTTGTCGGCCCACAAATTGACATTATTTTTAGATTTGTTTTGTTTTTCGTTTTGTTTTGGCCAACTATAATTTCTGATCATTTCTCCACATTTGCATAAATTGATTATTTAAATTGCAGGTACAATAACAAAAAACACAAGCAAAACCCAAACAAAAATTGACTTTTATGGTCAACACATTTTGATTTATTTAATGAGCGAAAATTGTCGGCCGTAGGCGGCTGCAGATCTACGATTGGATCTGCGATTTGTTTAGGTGTTCAGTTTTTTCTTCTGTTTCTTCTTCTTCTAAATTTTGAGCTTTTAGGCAATTGGCGGCGCTGTTTTATTTTAGGGTCAATTAAGCTTGACGTCGCAAAGCTGTTGAAAAAGCTTGATTTAATTTTGGATTTGAGGCATCGTGTCAGTTTAACGGTTACCATATATAGAATGATTAGCAACAAGCCTAGGCTTCTAATAAATTTAAATAAATTAAAGCAACAAAAAATTAGAAACCAATAATTCAAATACAATAGATAATACTAATGTAAAATTAAACTAAAAGAAATATAAAATGAAAAATTTAAAAATATGAGCTGTAATTCTTATAGTAAAA